TTGAGCTTCGGAGCATTCATACCGGGTTCCCCCCGGAGCTTCCTCATCTTCTCTGTTTCAGGCTCCCTGTAGCTCCGTTCAGAGGCAAGGTCGTTGACAGCTAGGACCAGCCGGATTGTGCACCATCAATACCCAAACAAGTGAGGATTTGTTTCTTTGTTGATTTATTTATTTGATAAGTAACAAAACTGAGGCTGTATTTCCAAATTGGCATCTTCAAATTAGCAATAATAGTGGTATATTCATTTTATTTTAATTTATTGTTTCCCCAAAAGTAACAGAAGTATTAATCTCAGCAAAGTATGATGGAAAATGACAGAACATAGGTACTGTATTTGTCTGTTAATCCCAGAATTCCTTGTTCACCATAGAAATACTCTAGTAAGGCAATAGAAATCATTCTTTAGAAGGTTGGAAGAGGAGGATGGATAGAAACATACCTTGGATCATTTGAACAAAGCAGACGGTTGCAAAGAGCTGTAAATCCAGCCCTTGTCTTATCAATAGCACCATTATGCTTCATTTTTAGAAGCACTTCCAAGAAATGGTTCCCTATTGTCTCAAGTTGTTTCACATCAAGGATTACATCAGTAGCCTCACATAGGAGTTCCCCAGGCTTAGATAAATCCAAACAAGTGGACCTTGGTAACGGAATTTTTCTTATGATGGTTCCAAGAAGAAGACTCACCTGAAGAAGAATATTCTATCAACAATACTTCATGTTCCCAGAGATAAATAACGAATCTAACTTAAGCAAGCACCTTAAAATCTAATTGCAACATTCCACCTTTTTACCGACAGATCTTTGTCAACTGAATAAGCATTTTCATCTACAAGGTGTCAGCAATAACTCTAATATCTAGTCATCAATGTTTGAATTTAATTTGCAGCAACTAGTTAACAATATTTGAGAGAAAATATAAGCAAATGGACAGAGAATGATGAAAGAGCAAATTAAAGATAAAATTGCCACTGGCATTGATCAACTTTTCCATAAATATGACTGGCATCTAGGGAAAGAAATAAGTTTCATACCTCTTTCATTGCAAGCCAGCAACCAACCATGACAACTTGTTCTGATGGTCTTGCACCGGTCATGTGCCTTGAACTTTTTACCTGATGTTCTGATGAAGACTCAACTCCATTCATTTCAACAGGTGCATCTGAAAGAAAACCATCATCATCAACCATATCATCCATGTCCTCAGGCAGATACCAGGCGTCTGCAGATACAACCCAAAGTGCTAATGAAGTTATTCGCATGACTAGCTCAAGGAGGTTCTCAAGTACATGCCTCATCTCAGAACTGCTCGACAATACAACATCAGAATTCCAATCCAGCTCTTCAAAAGTATATCGAAGTGTAAGCAATACACCATGAACAAAGCTGTTCTTGCATGCTTCAGAAAGATCCTTCTCCCCCTCCTCCACAGCTATACGTAGCCAATTGACCAGTGATAATATATATTCCAGCACAGGCCTACGTTCACAAATTTCAGAATCCCCACTACTCTGGTTGGATGGTGATTTAAAACAAACAATGTTGACCGAAGCTCCAACTGTCCATCCAAGCTCCAAAACATACTTCCTAAATGTAAGTCGTAAAGTCAAGGCACCAGCATCACTTTCTCTAACACGTGGACTGCATACTAGCCTCTTTGCCCACGCGATTACTTCCTTGACTGCATTTTGACTTGAAATTCCAGGAAGTGGTGTAGGAAAATGTAATAGTATGCGAAAAGCACTCTCTCTCAACCTATCCCAACTATCAATTATTGATCCAACCAGTAACAAAGTTGAATCAGGTAGAGTAAATCCTTCACTGTAAGGACAGAGAGAATTTGAAGGCAATGTGGAATCACACTTATTCTGTGAATAAGGTACTACAGGCCAGACATTAATCATTATCAGCATGAGCTCCATCGCCATAATTTTCCTCTCATATGGAGCAGAAGGATAACAAGAGAAAAAGAGAAAACAGCTCAACCACTTCATAAAATGAAAAAGATCCTCTGCTCTGTGAGCCACGGTTTCCTTACCACCCTTATGTTGACCTACTTTATTATTGTCAGAGCACCCAAGTGGTTGCCATCGCTCTTGCTTGAGCTGTCTCTCCAGTGCTGTCCGAACCCGAGAAAAAAACTTTCTAAACAAACTGGTCCATTTCATCTGAAAAGCTGTAGAGCAACATCGCATGTTCAAGGGAATGGCTTCTTTCATCAGGCTGAGTTCCAAAGGGGAAGGTAGACTAGATGTTTTGGGGTTCAAGAAGAGAGACTCTGCAGCATCTATACGAAGAGTTTCATCAACATGGGTCAAAGCCAGGACTAACCACTCAACAGGAACTTTAACTTTTATTCCCTTTACACATACAAGTGCAAAAATGGCAGCATCTTCTGTTTTCAAACCACATTCTTCTTGAAGCATCAAGGAATTATGGTACCAATCTATGTCCCCTTCAATCAATGCAAGAAAGCGAGAAACCTTGAGCAATGAGACCAAAGCAGCCACTTTCTGGTCAATCCTTAGAACCATGTTAGCACCAGAGAGCTCAGGATAAATCACTTCAGAATCTTCCACAATTTGTCCAACTGAGATAAAGGCAAGCATAGGGAATATACTGTCCACATCCACTTCAAGCACAACTGGCAGAGCATAAGTATTCAAGTTGGATCGAAGCCTTGAAACTCCGGAAACAAGCCCATACAAAACAGGAGGCAAGCAATGCCCTCTGAAAATTACATACCCTGATTCAATTCCATCACTGCTCCAACATTCATCCCGCAAACATTCAAGAAAGCACTTCAAGAATGATGTGACAGCACAGCACACATCATCGTCAACATATGCATAAACTGTTTCAAACAGAAGGTTTGGCCTCATGTCTAAAATAGTCTTTGCTCCCAACCTTTTAGTGAGAGAAGCTAGAGGAACATACCGGCCCTTGCAGCGAGCCCCAAGACGAAGAAGATCCGATGCAGTCTTCTGTAGGAAAGTCCTCTTTCTTTCACTGCCTTTTGCCAATTTAAGGGTGGATTGGATGTCTAATAAGAGATCAAATATGAGATGAACTTGTTTTACTGTCTGGTTAAGGGGGTCTTCCAAGTTATTCCAGATTATTCTCAATATCCGTGCCCCCACATCCTCTGAGATGGGATCATAATTCTCCGAGAGAGTAACAAGGTCAGCTAATATTGAGGTTTTTATCTGTTGTAAACAGATCTGCATAACAGTTAATACATGGAAATTAAAATGGCTGTCAATGGGGTCTTCACAATAGTTACAAAGCTCAAGTAATATCCCATCAAACAGTATGGTCCAAATCAAGCTACTACTTGACCCATTAACATTAAAGGCATCCAAATCCCTTGAATAAGTAAACAGGGTATTGAGTACAGTCCTTGGAATAGCAGTTAGAATTCCTCTCAGCAAGCACAGCCGACTATACGTAGAAACATCCCCCATTTCTGAATAAAAATCCCCCTTGTATGGAATCTTGAAACTTTTATCACTAAATTTGCTTATGCAACAAGAGATAGAACAGTTTGTATGACGGAAAAAAACTTTAACTATAAAAGGAGCAAGCTCTTCAGGATTTATGCATGCTTGAAGAGCTGCACAAAAGCTCACGCCTGCAGCCACCAAGCAATCCCTTGAAAACGCTGATGATTTTAAGATGCTCAAAATTGTTCCCACAACAATCTCAAAGACAGTGGACTCCTTGGAAATCAAAACGTCCTTACAACTACTAGTATCGGCAAATTTTAAAGGAAAACGCTGAAGCAAGTAATATAAACAAGATAATGCCTCTTGGCATTGCTCCATGACAATAGGTGAAGGCCGAGAACCACTAAGAGTCCCTGAAACCACTGCATTCAAACCAAAACTTGCATCCAGAGCTATCAAATTCGAGCATTCCTCCACAACATGTGCTAAAAACCCCAACTTAGGACAACCCATCAACGACAATGCAACACGACATAATGAAAATCTCCTACTTTTTCCACCTTGAACACCATACTCATCACACAGAATTCGGAAACAACTACCGATCACAGACTGGAAATTTCGGCATTTTACAAGAACAGAAACTAAAGTTCGATGCAACGGAAGAGAATTCTCGAGAAACAGAATCTCCAAGTAAAACCGAGATGCCACAGAAATTAATGAGTCTCCGCTGTTTCCAAACAACTCTCCAAAAGCTGAACTGACTTTTTTTACATTGTCAACTTGTGAATAGATCGAATTTAAAGATATCAACTCTTTCAATTCAGTGAAGAACTTCAGAGAAGAAATATCGGAGGGCAATAGATTTAAAGATTCAATATAAGAATGAGGGAAAACAACTGAACTGTAAGTGTATCGATGGCGATGCTGCAAAGCTCTCCATTTCGCGGACATTTTTACGTCGGACAAATTCAGGCTTGAACTGAAATGCTTGGGTTTTGTGAGCAAAATATGTAAAAGAACTAGTGTTCAGTAACTAAAGAAAAGAGGAAAATAATTGAAGTTGAATTCTTCACCTTGTGATATATGATTCTGTGAATCTTCTGTTTACAGATTTTACTCTCCCTCTCTCTCTCTCTCTCTCGTTCTGAAAGCTCCCTCGACTGCATTGATGAAGATTTCTTCAATATCGTGTTCGGCTCAATCCCTACTTCCGGAGTTCCAGTGACGACGCGAGGGAGCAGCGAAGTGACAAATCAACGGGAATTGAGGCGCGGGACAGGTCCCTGTAAAAGATGTTAAAGCCGTAAGGGGGGTATTAGGGCAATGTATCGTAATTTGACGGCTATACCCTCGCTGGGAAAATAATTTGGAGAAAAATATACTTTTCTTCCAACGTTTTTCAAAAAACAAGTAACTCTGCATTCCTTTGTGTTAATTCTAGATAATGATTCATTATAATGATATTTAAAATGTATTATTGATAGGATACGGATTCTGAAATTTCAAATATTATTGATAGGTTTATTTGTTTGGTTATATTTTTTTATAATATTTAATCTTTTTGTGTTATTTTTTGGTTAATCTATCAAAAAATGATTAAATTCAAAAATGAGTATTTTAATCAAAATAAAGTTTCACAATTTTATTCATATTTTTAATAGTAGTGTAAATATAGTGTTCCATTTTTTTTATAACTTTTTTATATTTTTGTGTAAAAATAATTCTAATATGTCACACTTGATGTTTGTTTAATATGATGTGCCTAAATTTTTTTTTTGCAAAATTTATGTATTTTTTTGTTTTTGTATTTTTATACTTTATTAACTTTTATTATTTATTTATGACATTAAATGTTAACATGTTTAACCCAATTTTTGAACTATTGAACTTTGTCAAATAGTAAAAGAATTTCATTTTTGGTTAGTTCAAGATTATGTATTTTATTGTCATTACCAATAAAAAATAATTATTGTTTATTACACTTATTTTGTAATGGTTAATAGAAATATCATAATTGTGTCTAATTTTTTCTATATTTTCTGTAAGTTTCTATATTTATTTCTATTTTAAAAAATTTATTATCTAACTATGACTTCATAAGTCGATCAATTTGATTCAGATAGTTTAATTACTTAGCCACCACTTGGATTAAAAATGGTTTTATTTTTTGAGTTAATTTTAAAATATATAAGTTTATATTGTTAAAAATATTGACACAAATCTAGGAAAATAGGAGTTAATAATTTAAGTATAATACACGATCGTGGATTAAGTGAGGTGCAAAGTAATAATTGACGTTACAATTTCAACCTTACCATTAGAAATTGACTAAATACACAATTATGGGCATTTTAATAGCCATTAAAGTTGTAATAAAATAGCATTCAACCTTGCCATTAAAGTTAAAAAAATGACTTTTATACCCCTTATCAAACAAAGAAATAGAGGGTAATTTTAGTCCAAAAAAGTTTCATATTGCATTCACACTTTTATATATAGTATAGCATAGATTTAGGGGTGTTCTACTATATAAATATCAATCAATGTTTTGAACTTGTCATTTACCTAGACGATCCGACCGTTCAGCATATAAACCGATCAGGGTACTAGTTATATTTTGTCCTTTGTTTTTCTTAAAAAATGTTGAATTGGTTAGTGATTCGTTGATTCAAGCAGTTGAAAATGTTGATCCATTCGACCCAAATATGGTTTCCATGCCAAGTTTTTATTTTAATTAATTTGTTCAAAATTTTAAACATCACGAGCTAATCCGTTTGGACCAGACAATCAAATTGTTGACCTAAAAACCCGTGGCCAAAGTTGTTCAAATTCTATATCAAATTTTAAAACATTGATATGAATGTTTTTATTACTGTTTTTTTTTAATTGCTACATCAAATAAAAAAGGCAAAAAATGCTCTTGCACTATATTTTTTATCTTTTGTTTTGAAAAGTAAAAGCATGCTGGTTTTGTTTAAGGGAAAAAATACATGCTTTAAAACTATCAAAGTAATAGTATTTAAAACACAACAAATTTCATAATGCATAAACTATAGGTATTCTTGGACTGCAATCCCCCTTAGAAAATCAATTTTGCAGCCCCCTCCTAATTTACTAGTAGCCCCTCCCCCTGTAAACCACATCCTGCCCGTGAATTTGGCATCAATTTGCGGGCAGGATTCAGTCTACCAGTAGCTCCACCTAGGGGTGGACTGAACGGTAAAAACCCCTAAATTATATGCATGATTCAATTAAGGAGTATGATATTGAATATCCAAGTGAAAATATGTTTTTTAAACAAAAAAATTCAAGAACATGTTTTTGGTTTTAGTTTTGGGGGGAAATAAGCATATAACCAAATACGTGGTTTTCTATGTTTTTGTTTTAGGACTAATTTATCTTCAAACCATATACATAAAATGACTTAACAAGGTAAACGCACTTATGCGTGCAAATGTTTTTTGGAAAAACACTTATCTGGATAAGGCCATTTACCATTGTTATTCTTCTCCGAGTAAAGGTACACAATGAATGTTTTATCCAAAAAGGTGACATTATTGAAGGGAAAATATTGTCACATCAAGTCAGCATACATAGGTAATTAATTTATCCAAGTTTAAATAGGGTAATACTTCCCCATGTAAAAAAGTCACTCAGGAATCTTTTTTTTTTATCCACTAATACTAGAAAATGAACACATGTTTATTTATTTTTTCCATGGGACCTACCAACTTACATGCCCATACTTCTTAGAAAATAAATGAGGCCTTAAAGTAAATCTATCAATAAAAGAAAAAAAAAAGAAAAACAATTCCCCGAAATAAACACAATTTTCCAAGGATATATAATGTAGTGTAATAAAAGCTTGAGCTTGTTACAAGTAATTTAGGAAGAAAAAAAAAGTTTTATAATGTACATTATTTAAATTGATAGTGTGAAATTGAGTAACCCATCCGGGTTGGGCCACTTTCAAGGCGAAAAAGTGGTACAAATAAAATAAATGGTTCTCATCCCTAAAGTGGCCCACTCCGAATTATTTTAGCAATATCCTTATAAACAACATTTTAGTGGGTTAAAAAACTGATACATATGGTACAATACACACTAATATGTTATGAGTTTTTTAACCTTTGAATAAAAGTTGTGTAAAATTTGCACTGGTTTTTGGGCCCCACCTTGTGTGAACATTGTTGTATGATTCATCTGTATGACTAAAGCCATATTGGTACGTGAGACATGATATAAATGCCAATAGTACTTGCATCTTCAAGTTATGTTTCCTAGTTGAGAAGGCTATAAAAGTTGTGTTAAAAAAAAAAAAAAACATTATGCTGGTTCAGAAACTTAAAATTCCTGTCAGTACGACTCTACCCACAAGACACTTCAGCCACACACCTCGCACATCAATGACAACATACAAGTGTGTGATGTGTGGGTAGAGTTGTGTGGTCAATAAATCCCATTGATAGCACAAATAGGTGAGACATTTACAATGGTACAAATAACATTACATAAACCAAATGAAACATGAATACAACCACAAAACAAATGGTCCAAATACCCCTTAGTTCAAATGCAATGAACCAGAGCCAAGACAATACATTACAATGTTGGGTAAAGATAAGGGAATAAAGTGGAACTTGTACTAAATAGTTAGCATTAAGAACACTATATATACTAGTAATTATGTGTGTGTGTATTGCACATGATTTTTTTTCTTGATATTAATTACTTGATATATTAACTGTGATATATATATATATATCACAGTTAATGTAGAAATTGAAAATTAACAAAAGTAACAATATAATTAAAAATAAACTTAAATGCTTGTAGTAAATGTGCATATGAAAAGTTTAAATTATAATAACAATTATTATTATTATTATTATTATTATTATTGTCAAAATTTGTATTCCATGTCATAAATAAAAACAATTTTTATTTTAACAATTATTTTTTTTAATATAATGAGCATATAACTTTGGAAATGTTCCTAAATGTTTTCGACAAAATCCTGTACTTTTTAAATTTTGTTGGGTTCTATATTTTTAAATATTTATTATTCAATTATGACATTATGAGTTTATTTGAAAAGTTGGACCATTGATCCACCATCTACATAAGAAAATAGCTTTTCTTTCAGATCAATTTTAAATTATATATTTCATCTACATTATATAAATAATTTTTACTTATAACACTTAATTTTTGTGTCCAAATTATTATCTATTTTTTTAATTTTTGTGATTCTTTGTTTTTTATTTCTAAAAATTTTAGTATTTGACTACAACATTATTTCATTTATGGGTTTATTTTAAAATTGGCATTCTATTTTTATCATTAATAAAAATATTTTGTACATTTCATACTTATTTTTGTTTAGTATAATGAATATACAATATTAGAGATATGCCTTATTATTTTTCATTATTTTTGTGTTATCTATTTTATTTATTTTAAATTTTTTATTTAATTATGATACTATTACCCACCACTAGGAGGGAAAACTGGTTTTGTTTTTATTTTATACAATTAAAATTAATGTTATGGATTTAATTAGTATAATTTAATAACGAGAAAAATATATCTTTACTATAATATTTAATGAAAGAATATACCTCAGATATGAGATTTAATGAGAGAGAATAAAGAAATAGTTTAATTTTCAATTGGTTTTAAATTTTATATTCCATTCCCATCATTAACAATAACATTTCTTATTTATTTAGTTATTATTGTCTAATATATCGAATATATAATGTTAAAAATGCCCACAATTATTTTTATTTTATCTATTTTTAAATTTTATTAATTATGGCAAGATGGATTTGCCAATTTGACCCAAAATGGTTTAATTTCTTATCACCGGCTAGATAAAAACACTACTTTTTCTAAGCAGGTTTTAAAATTATAAGTTTTTTGTGCTATTGGAATTATTACTTTATTATCAATAGATTTAATTAGTGGAATTTAATGATGAGAAAAATAAAAAAATCCTTAAGTACAAGGTTAAATACTTAAAAGTACCCCTATGGTTTAACAAATGGGCAAAAATAACCCTTTTGTTTGAAAATTTACTTAAAGCATCGCTAAGTTTTTTGGCAATGTACAAAATCCTCCGCTATTGTTGGAGGGTCATTACAATCTGTCTGCATGTCATACCGAAGCATTTACTAGCGTTATAGTTATGCGGACAAAATTTTCAAGTGGTACCCACAAGGCATTACAACTATATTTCCTAAACTTGAATATTGTTGTTGTTGAGCCCCTATCTATTACCCTA